ATAGACTTTCTTTTGAGAAATTTAAATATACTGCTAATTTTCCCCAATTTTTTTTAAGTTCCGTTGTTGAATATTATAGGTGTGTAAACTCAGCAAAATATTCTAAAAGAGTACAGAAGCCATGCTTGTTTTCTGCTATTTTATTTTAAAGAGAAAAAAGAAAAACAAGAACAAAGACAAATCAAAGCAACATGAAGCAATAAAAATGGTACAGAATTTCAAAATAAGAATAGAAAATTAACAATTGTTGTTATATTATGTATTGTTACCAGAAAATTTGTTGCTCAGATTACCAGATATAGGAATGTTTAATTAAGCTCATATTTTTATTGAATTATTGCAATTATTATATCCTAGGTATCAAAACCTTATCAAATATATCATTTGAGAAAAATTTCTTCCACTCTCCAAGTTGTCTCCTAAGACAGGGAAGCTCCTGTGACTTGTGATGCAAAGATGGTGAGGTTTTCAGGGCAGCTTCTCTATAGGGCTCAGCCTTCTCAGAAAGGGAAAAGCGCCTGAGCAGAAGCAGAGGGCGGGAAGCTGAAAAGTGTTAAGGCGTACAGACAGGCACGACTCTCGCCTCTCTACGTGTCTAGCCCTTTCCTCCACTAATGGCCTTTAAGAGGCAAACTCAGCACTAACGTGTCTGTGCTCCCTCGCAGTCATGCCTGCGTGGGAATAGCGAGAGGTAGCTAGGATGGACTGGGCCGGGACCTGTCCACGGTCCTGGAGCCGCGCTCAGCTGGGCGAAACGAGTGCTCCACCACTGGAGTGAGGACCTGTCCATGGTTCTGGACCCAGGCCCAGCCGGGCGAAACGAGTGCTCCGCCACTGGAGTGAAGTCTTCTTCCTCTCGTGCTTGCTTTCTCCTCTCTCTCTCTCTCTCTCTCTCTCTCTCTCTCTCTCTCTCTCTCTCCCTTTCTTTCTTTCTTTTTGCAATAAGGTCTCAATAAGTCTCCAGAATATCCTTCGACTTAGACGTCGTTATTTTCCCTCCTCAGCCTCCTTAGTAGCTGAGATTATAGGTATACAGCTGCTAGCCCATCTAAATATACTAAGAGATACTTTTAAAAACAGTGGCAAAAGTCCCTGGAAAACAGTAGCATTCTTGGGTTCTCTGGTTAAAAACTGAAAACTAGTATATGTTTCAGTGGTCTGGGGAATGTAAACAACATAAATCATAATGTAATCTGTGATCACTAGTCATGAGTTGGTCTTAACCTCATTCTGCATGTTATATGAAGGAAATAAAGTATTCTGATGTCCTTTCCTACGTGCACAGCTTGCAAAGCCAACTGCAGATGTCACTTTATTCTCTGTTGGTTTACCCATGGATTGAAGATGAGAAGTATTCACTCTGAGGCAAATTTCTCCCAAAAATCACTTTTATTTTTATATTCATGACTTTTGTTCATTGATGTAAGAAAGTTTCTATTCACTAAGCTACTTATTCATTTAAACAACAGAAAAAATCTTTAATCACTCATGAGACTGCAATTCTGTTAAGCTCCCTACACTCTGTGTGTGTTCACTCTCAGCTCTGCCTTGCATGTGCGTGAGCCTGGGTCTCGCCACCCTCCCGCTTCTCCCCTCAGCAGACCTCTCCCATTTTGCTACACCATCAAGTGTGTCTATTAATTAGTCATAATCTTATTTAGTTGGTTGTGTTATTTTGCTTCATGATATTTTTGGCTTCCCAATTGGTGGATTTGCCTACTTTTACATAACTGAAAACTGGAACCAGTGAGATAGCTCAGTGGACTAAGTGCCTGCTTACACAAGTGCAGGGACTGCAGCTCGGTCCCTGGCGCCACATGCCATGACAGCTCCACCCCCAGGGCTGGTAGAGACGATTGAGTATGAGTGTGAGGGCACAGGCCTATCACCCCAGCACTGGGGAGGCTGTAAACAACAGGATCACTATGAGTCCGAGCTGCGTAGTGAGACCCTGTAACTACCAAATACATTAAATAATAATAATAATAATAAAATGAAAACTTTCTTTTAACAACTATGAAATTGGGATGATTACATTGAAATCTGATTTGTCTTTCCAGGTAAAACAAAAACATTTTACTACATTACTCAATTTAAAAACTAAGTGTATTGTAGACATACCTTTGCTGCTACGTTTCTCAAACGGCTGAGTGAATGCAGGCACGGGGTACAGCACAGAATGCGGACCCCGAGTATGCGCCGTGGGTTGAAGGCTGGAAGCTCAGTAACTGCCCAGAACACACTGACGCAGTCACTGTCCCACTGGTCAGAAACAAGCCGCCCAGTTTCTCATTAATGTGCACTGTGTGAGGGACAGGAAAAGCTCAAGGTGTACGCCTGGCTCTCATGCATTTTCAAACATTTGCTTGCAAGTGGACTTTAAATGATATCCACTATTGTTTCAATTTGAAAGTCTATGATGAAAAGAGAGGTTTTAACTCCGCCACAATGTGTTTTAAGGGCCGGGGAGATGGCTCAGTGGAATAAGCGCTTCCCTGGCAAGCGCAAGGGCCTGAGTTCAAGCCCTGGTTCCGCCAAAAAAGAAAAAAAAAGACCACAATGTTTTTTAATTCTGACGTTTATCTTCAAGTTGGCGTTCAAGCTCTTCTATGTGTCTCTGTATCTTATTCTTACAAATATATTTCAAATAATTATAAATAACATTCCTCTCTCAGAATGCTGCAGATGTTCTTTGCCATTGTGGTTTTAAGTATTAGTTTTGTGTGTTTCTCTTCAAACAGTAGTACACGGGTTGGCTGTTCATGTCGCATTACAGTCTTCCAGCAGAGTGCGTCAGGCTCGCGTACATGAGCCAAGTGCTGCGCCGTCTCCTGCACGTTCGCTCACCCATCATGCCATAACTTAAGCCATTCTGGTTTTTTACAACCTGTTTATGAAAGGCTTTCTGATATTTTTCAGGTCCTAGTTCAGTATTTCCAGTGACTTTGTCAAGTGAGGCTGAGTCATGAGGGTACAGGCATCCACTTCTGATCAGTGCTGACTTTTTTATTTAGGGGTATTTTAGAAAAATGCAATGCATTGTCTTTGGAAGACATCCTGGAAGATAAACGGATAATTAAATGTGACTTTTGAAACTATCCAATTGAATAATTAATTAAAATTCACTGATTTGTCTTTTCAGGTAAAACATGCTTCAAAAACTCTTTACTACATTGCCCAATCTAAAAATTAAACATAGCTGTAGGTGTGCCTAAATCTAAACCTAAACCAGATTAATTTATATTTAAAAGCATATTATTCAGTGCAAATCATAGATGGATAGGACTTCTTCAAGTACTATTTTGTATCCAGATATGACGAACATTGCTGTTCAGAAAGTGACATCTCTTACAAAAGTCTTGCACCGCAGAGGCCGACCACTTCTGACGGGCAAGCGTCCAGCAGTTCGCTCTGTTTCCCGACGATCTCACACTGTCCTGGACAGCATTCTCTGCAGGCTTGGTGTTCATCAAAATCAGTGCTATGGAATATGAACACGCATCTGTTTTAAATGTCTAACACGCAAACACAGTGCCCGCCGGGCTCTCTGAGAGGTGCTCCGTGGCCGCGCAGGCAGAAAGCAGGGTGAGCAGTGCCCCAGCCTGGCCACCTACCTAGCGAGCCACCACTTCCCAGCCACGGTGCATGCTGAAATGCCCCCGAGAGTGACAATACCAACCAATGAAAACACCAGTGGTGGGGAAACAGTGTTTCTTGGCTATCCGCTGACCTTTTCCTTCTCTTCCACTTTGTATTTTCTGTTATTTTTGTTTTTGTGTCATCAACTCCTGTTCCCAGCTAAGTTGTCATAAAGCCTCGCCCATGGCCGCTCCCCTGTGGAGCGCCTATGCCCGGGTGTGCACGTCCAGCGGGCAGAGGCCTCCCAACCTGAGCTTGGGACTCTGAGGACCGATCATGAGATGCGGAGCCAGGATGCTGCGGCCGCTCATCGAGGCCCGGAGAGCCACCCCCGGGACATGCTGGGGGTCATAACATGCCCTCGTGCCCGCTGACCCATCCACCATCCAGAGCCACGGTCTGAGCCGCGCCACTCCGTGGCGAGGACTGCACCTCAGCACCCCAGAGCTGACCGTCGTCCTCGCTCAGCGCGGTGCCAGGGCCAGGGCGGCCGGGCCGGGTGAGGGGTGGACAGCGTGGACGTTGCCTTCCCAAGGTGGCCCCGGTGTGTTTGCAGGAGAACGCGGCTGAGCGGCTTGCTTCCACCTCTCACAGTGAGCGCCTATGAGTACCTGCCCCTCTGATACTTCAGAAGGTACATTTGCAGACTGAGGAGTTGGCTGCATGGCATTGTGCCATCCAGAAGTTATGTTTAATTTAATCCTCCCACCGCAGCGCCGGCTTCTGATAACTGCCGCGTCCCCTCTCGGATGACAGTTCATCTTTTTGTGTAATAAAAGTGTTACAACTTGCTTTGCTTTGCAACTCGTCTTGTACAGAGAGAACTTAAATTTGGAGAATACAGCGAAATCAGAGGAAAGAATAAAATGTTAATGTTGGGAAGTCTTCATTGGGTGTTACTAGTCATGAATATACAAATGAAATATTCATGCTTATAAAATATCACTCTAAACATTTTCACATAATCAAATATATTGCACATTTACATTCATATAGGATTTAATTAATACTGAGCAAACATGTCTTATTTGAACTTGTCTACCTCATCTTCCTCTGAATAGATTTAGACTTGCCTTAAGACTACCAGAGTGTTCCACACCTCAGTTTCTTTCATCTGCCCTTCGCCCAGCCCAGGAAAGCCAAAGTCCTCGTCCTGGCAGTGACCATCCAGCCCATGATGCGGCTGGCCTTCTAATCCTCTGTGAGCCTTTGTGTAGAAAAATAAGCAAATCAGAAGGGTTCCTCTGATCACCTCCATTTTGGGCTCAGAGCATGTTCATTCATGGTTGATAGGGTCATGCTGGGGACACCTTCATTCCGGAAGCATCCTGAGACACTGCTGTCGCTCTCTGTCCCTGCAGCTGAAGGCGCGTGTGGAGGAACCCTGCGTGGCACCAGCAGCACCATCTCAAGCCCACACTTCCCGTCTGAGTATGAGAACAACGCCGACTGCACCTGGACCATCCTGGCCGAGCCTGGGGACACCATAGCGCTGGTCTTCACTGACTTCCAGCTGGAGGAGGGGTATGACTTCCTGGAGATCAGCGGGACAGAGGCCCCATCCATATGGTAAGTGGGGGCGGGAGGCCGCCGGGTGACTGTGCGTGCTCCAGTGCCTACTGTTCTTGGGCAGTGTTTCCAACCAATGTCCTGCGCCAGCATCAGAGCCCAAGGCTGGACCCCTTAACTGACTCATCCCACAGTTTGCAGCTTGCCTTTGCTTTGGTGTTTGGTACTAGTAAAGTTCCCTGTGCATTTGAACACAGTCCTTCTGACATCAAGCTCAATGGTTAAAGCCACACTGGAGGTGGCAGCAAGGGAACAGTGGATCAGGGTCACTGAGAAGTGGACTTGGGCTGTGCAGTTGCTTTCATTCTTGCTGACTGAGGCTGCTGCAGATCTGCAGTGCTGTTTCTGTTCCTCCTTGCCTGGGGCCTCCAGTCCAGGGCCCCTCCAAGGACAGGCATGAGGTCCTAGAGTGTCAAAGGCAGATCTAGTTAATGTAAAGGCAAACCTGGGGCCGGGGAGATGGTTCAGTAGAATAGGCACTTGCCTGGCAAGCATAATGGCCTGTGTTCAATCCCCAGTTCTGAAAAAAAAAAAAAAAAAAAGCTTGACCAAAAAAAATAAATAAAGGCAAACCCACCCTGCCCACACAGTCTCATCCAGGGGCCGGTCCGTGCTCCGAGTGTGCGTGAGCACAGGCCCAGCAGTGCAGGGCTGCCATCAGTGTCCATGGGGCTTCGGAAGTGTCGGCTCCAGGGAAGCACAAGCTGAACACAGGCGTGATTTGAATGTGACACTTACAGAAGCAGATGTCTAAAGACTTAGGTTCCAGCTCTGATGACTTGCTGGTTTTGAGTTGAACATTTGTTCTAATTTGGTTTTTGCTTTGCTTTAGTTTTCTACTGTAGATCTTGACTTGTGAAACAATTTGGGGATGAATTTGTGACACTCAAGCGAGGTGTCACAGAGAAACACATATGTGGGTGAGAGAGTGAGGAGTGGTTGTAAACATTTCTGGAGGTTCAAGTTTCCACTTCAGTGCGGAGGTTAAGTAATAAATATGCCTACTGTGGAGCACATTGAACTTGGACTGAGCTCCGGTTGTCAAAGCTCAGGTCCCCCAGCCGAGAGCGTGCGTCCCTGGATAAAACCCTTCCTTCTCTGACTTTTATTGTGTTTATGATTAGTGAAATTCCAATTAGAAAAAGAAAGTATAACACACCTCTATCTCCAAGGCCTTTGCTTTCGTTGATTCACCTTTTTGGTTAGCATGCACGTGCTTGTTTTAGATCTTTGATCCCTGGAGGATTTGCTGGAATTTTTGCTCAGTGGGTCGCGAGCCTCTGAGCTATTTGTGACCTGCATCTCCCTCAGAGTCACAGACTGACCTGGACTCCACCTTGGCCTCCCATAAGCAATCTCATGACACTGTGGAAAGTTTTGTGTAAAGAAAGGTTAAATTAAAATTGGTATTGTTAAAATTAATTCATTATACATTTACTGAGGGCCTAATCTCTACCACACTTTGTCGGAGTGAGGTGGTCCACCATAGCCTAACTTTTAAATGACATTCCTTTATTTTATAAAGTTCCGGAACTAGAAAGTACATCTCAGGGCTCCGCAGAGACTATACAGTTAACTTCAAAGGTCGTATTTGTGTGAGTTTGCGGATACTGGCTTTGCTGGCAGGTGCCAGACTGCAAGAGCTCCACAAGCATACGCAAATGAGTTAGTGCTTTTGAAATCTACTGATGGATTTTGTGAAATAAACTTACTTCATGTAAAAAAGAAAAATAGACTGTGGATGGCAGGGCAACATCTGAAATGAAAATAAGAGATGCCAAGCAAGTAAAAAGTGCCAAGACTGGGGTGGGAGTGGGTGTGCGCCGGCGCATGGGGGCCTTCTCTGCAGGAGCTGAGGTCCTTCCAGCCCGCGGCCTCCTTCCCACGTGAGGGGCCAGGTGACATTCCTATCCTTAGCATTGCCCTGTTCCTCTGCTCTCTCACCTTCTTTCTCTCTAGCTTCTTTTTCCTGCTGCTCAAGCTCCTACTCTGCCTTCCCAGACACATTTTCCTGAAGAGCAGCCGTGGAGAATTTGCACAGGAATGTGAGGCAGGGCCAGGAACCCTACGCGGTGTGTTCTGTTTGTAATGCCCAGTGGGCAGAAGCTCCAGGGCACAGAGCAGCCTCAGACCGCTGTGCTGGACCATCCTCAGGGTGACCTGGGAGGTTGCTCCCAGGACCTTGGGGCTGAAGCCTGGCTTTCTCTAGGCCAGATATTGTGCAGGAAAACTGATGGAAGTTTCCATGGAACTTTGGCCCTATGTGGCCTCTGGTCCTCTTAGCCAGATGGGCCTTTGCTCTCTTGGCCATCGTTCAATCTTTCAGGGCCCTCCTCCTTCCTGTGGTCTTCTAACTTATGCCATTGTGCCCTCTGTTCGGTGCCTCGTTGCTCTTGTCATTGCCCATTTCATGCCCAAGCACCCTCAAGGACCCTAGGCTGGACTAGAGTGAGAGATGGCAGGGCCTCCACTGGACTCAGCAGAGTGGGGGCACAAGGCCGATGGGGCTTCTCCTCGCTGCATCCCCCCGCCTTTGTGGGGCCAAGCATCAGCAGTGTGGGTCCAGGGCACCTTCTCCAAGGGCAGCCTAGAACCTGAGCATCCTCCAAGTTGTGAGGTAGAGCACAATACTGCAGGGAGACCAGAACTGCAGGAAGACGGGGACCCGCAGCAATCCTAGGCTGCATCAGTAAACAGCGGTGCAGCGGGGTGTTGCAGCTACTGATGTCTGTGTTTTTATTTGTTTTCACGTTTGTGACACTTGGCACCTACCATAATGACAAAAAGATGTCTGGCCATGGTCGCACCTGGGATTGCTTTTCAGTGGCTCTCTCAGACTCCAGCTATTCTTCAGTGGCAGGTGACACAGGAAACAGGTCCTCCCAGTCGGCCATGCGAGTTTCTGTGAGCACATTTAGGATGTGGAGCTGGCGATGGAAGCGGCCTTTCACTATTTATACAAGTGCATGTAATGTGGCCTATCTTAAAAACTATTATTTTACCATAATTTTGGTTACAATCTTTGAAATGCATAATGGCCCAAATTACTATATTTAGCAGATTTACCCATCCTGGAATGGCGAGGAAAATGCCCAAGAGCACGGGGTGGGTACCACCTCCTCTACCGCAGGCTGTGCGGGAGCTACAGGGACTGCCTTGATGGCCGGAAGGTGCCGAGGGCACTGCACATGTAATTTTCCAATAAGCTGCTTTTAAAAGACAGAATATACGAGCGAGAACACTTTCAGAAGCTACTTGGAAAATTGTTACGAATAATAATAGGATTAGCTTTATAGTCATTAAATTCAGAGTGAAATTAACAATTCTGCTATGTGGTGTGAGGGTTGCCGTGGTGATGGTAGATGCAGGCTAAATATAGCACCTGATGTCACACACCCAAGCCATCTTACTGAAATGAGAAAGGCCGTGTGGTGAAAACTGGCTGCCTGCTTGTGCATCAGACGAAACCGGTTGCTGGAACCGACCAGATTTAACGCTGTGTGGGCCGGCTTCGTGTTGGCCTCTCACTCTAAGAGGGCAGCAGCTCCCAGTTCACCATGCAGCAAGGATGGCAAATTATGCTGTTTCTTGCAGTTTAGGAGAAAGAAAGCAGTAGCAGCCCAAACAGCCCTGTGCTCTTCCTCTTCCCAGAAGTGATTTGATGGCGTAGCTGCGAACTTGTAACTCGAATTATCAACAAGAATGAAAATTGATTTTATTTCAATCGTAAGCTACTAGGAAGTCTAAATGAGGATGTGGCAGTGGGAGAGATTCAGACTACATTGTCTGGGCAGGAACCAGGGAGTAAGCCATTGCTCTCCTTAGAAGGTGCGTCTGATGGCAAGAAGAGCTGTTCCAGCCCCGCTGGGCCAGAGGGAGGGAAAGAGCAGCGTCTGAGGGCAGCCCAGGCACCGCTGGCTGCGCCTCTCGGCTGCCATGACAGCCCCACGGCCTCTCTTGCTGCTCAGCCCCCGCACGCCCCACGCCTCCGGGCCCTCGTCCACGTCGTCGCTCGGTAGCCCGACTCCTTGTCACATGGCGGCTCAGCCATGACACATATCTGCTGTACCTCATGCCAACAAAACTCACAAAAGGGACCAGAGCTGGGAGAGAACAGTGGGCATCACCAGGCAGAACCAGCAGGCGCCAGGGCCAGCCTCGGTGAGAGACGCGCGCGTGTAGCTGGGCCCGTGGGCTTGACCTGCCTGTCGCGGCCAGCCGGAGCCCAGCCAGCTCGCTAAGGCTGCAGGGTTCTGACCCTCGGAGTGGCGTCACTGCCCCCTCTGTCACCCCACTACAATCCACAGAGCCAAGGAGACAGAAAAGAGCTCCACTTTGCTCTGTTCCCATTAACACAGCACAACTTCACTTTTAAATCAATGTGATTGTTGTACTAGTTATTCAGAGGGCAAGATGCTGACACGATATCTTGCCTAAAACAATATTAGTACAAACCTTTCTTCTCAATGAATGAACTAAGAGAAAACAGCTGTATATCTATTCTATCTTGTGCATATATATATATATATATATATATGTATATATATATAAAACACAAAATGCTCCTTTATTTATATCCCCCTCTTTTTTTTCTCTCTCTCTGAATAACTACCACAAAGACAACAATATGCAATGTATCAATTATTGTAACTGTTCTACTAACCTGTTTTGCTTTGGTTTTTTTTTTTTTTTTGGCAGAGCCAGGGGTTGAACTCAGGCCCTTGCACTTGTTAGGGAAGCACTTATTCTACTGAGCCATCTCCCCGGCCCCCTAACGTGTTTTGAAACTGTTTCATTGCTGCCTTTTTCTCATTAAAATGAATTTTAAAAAGTAACCAAACTTGGTAGTATAACAATAAAAATTCATCACTCAAAAAAAAAAAAAAAAAAAACAAATCAAGCTAATCAGTGGCTAGGAACCCAAAGCAAGACTTCAGAGCCTTGAGCTGCTGGGGCAGCTTCAGAAGCCCGTGAGGGTCGGTGCCTACCCGGCTTGGGTT